CTGAGCTCGGATAAAGAGGCAACACACAAAGTAACTCATTCTTGAGTAACTCCGATCATCTCAGCGTCACTGAGTTCGTTTCAAAGCCCCTAAGGTAAATTAAAATTAAAACTGAACGGTTTTGCATTGATTTTTTAACAGAACTAAGATTTTGACTTCTCTAAAGGCCAGATAGAGAGAGGGAAGGAGAACAGAAGAAAGAGGAGGAGCCAACCCTACCAAATCTCGGGTTAGAATTACAGAACGCTAGATCTAAATGGAACATTAATGGTATAACTCAGTGGTTCTCAAGCCTAGTTGTATCTCAAACTTACTTGAAGAGGTTAAGGAGAGTGAGTTACATAGGTAGACAGATGGACAGTCCCCCCATTCCCCACCCAAGCATCCGATGCGCTTGAACTAGGGCAGGGCTAGGGCACAGGTATAGTGGAAGCTCCAGGCAGAGCATTCTCTAGGAAATTCAGGGTGGATAAACCGTGATTACACATACCAAAAAAGTATGTTCAGGGCTAAGATACCAGAGGTTTAGGATGCTGTAGATTCAGGGACAAGGAATCTCTAACCCAGTTTGACAGGCTAGAAGGAGACTGGGATATGCTGCTTAAATTGGCCCTTAGGCAAACTGTCAAAGAAAAGAGGCAGAAATAAAACTGTCCAGGGCGCCTGGGTGGCTCCGTCGCTTAAGCGTCTTCCTTCGGCTCAGGTCATGATCCTGGGGTCCTGGGATCGAGTCCTGCGTTGGGCTCCCTGCTCCGCAGAATGTCTGGATAGAGAAAGAGAGAAAGCACGAGTGGGGGCGGGGGACGGGAGAAGCAGGCCCTCTGCTGAGCAGGGAGCCCGACAACAATGCAGGACTCGATCCCAGAGCCCTGGGATCATGACCTGAACCAAAGGCAGACGCTTAACTGACTGAGCCACCCAGGTGCCCCAGACTGAAATTTGTCTGCTTACTTAGTCCTCCTCTCTTGGAGCCAAAGTCGGCAAAGGTTCCTCTTTGCTACAGATTCTACCCAGAAACACTGAGGCTGAATAATTTCCATCTTAATTCACATTGTATTCATAGAGGGATTGGTTCTTAGCTAGAGTCAGGGATGATTAGATAATCACCTAATGCTTTGGTTCTTAAACTTCTGTGAAGCCCTTTGAGAAGCGGACGAAAGTTACAGCCCCTCTTGCCAGAAAAAAATGCATAGATTTTGCATGTAAAATTTCAGAGTCAAAGGACACCCACTGGAGGAAATCCCACAGGGAAGAATGCTGATCCAGGACAAGATTTACACTTGAAAGAGAAGAAAAATAAGGAACAGAAAAGACAAATTGCTTGTCCCAAGATCTTAATGCTCAGTAGCAGCAAAACTAGCATTATGCTTTGGGTCTGATTCCTGGTCTGGGGCCCTTTCTACCTCCTCGTGTTGTTGCTTATGTCGGAGGCCAAACTTATTAAAAATTGGGCAGAAAGTGGAACGGTGATTCAGTTGCAACAGAGGCCTCAGCCAACCCTGTGAGGAACTTAGGAAACAGGGTGGCCGCTCAGAGTTGTCCTGACTTGAGGCAGGGGTAGAGGGGGAGACGGGGAGCCTAGGCCCTTATCTTCCCACATGGACCAGTCAAGAGACGTGAACTGCCTAGAAGACATGTGACCTTGATTGGTCAGGGAGACCTCTTCAGGGCCTCCGTTGAGAGTTACCAGCCATCAATACTCCCAGCAAGACAGTGGATGGGGCCCTCTGGCCTGGGGGGGGGGGGGGGGGGGGGGCAGATTCTGGACAGGGCACCATCACATCCATCGCAGTGGGCTTGGGAACACTTGCAACTAGCCCCCTATTCCTTTTCAAATAACCCTCAAAATGTTAAGGTAACATTTTCCTCTCTCCCTTTCCCTCTTCTCGGAAAACTACCATCAGCCCATAGATCATCAAGAGCAAAAAAAAAAAAAAAAGCAGCTACGATATCCTAAAATATATCTGAACTATGCTGGGGACTCCTCTAAACACCGTAATGACAACTGACCTTGACAAAATCAGGGAAGTCCATTTCCAAAAATAGTCTCTGGGGGATCCCAAAAGTAATGGGATGAAATTCATCGAGCAATGCACTGTTTCGCTTTATAGCCTTTCCATTTGTCATACAAATTACAATGAATACTTATTTCTTGATTTACATTTCAGCCTCCACACAATTGGCAGCTCCTGCCATGTTTTCATGCACCATCTGGAAGAACTAATGAACCCAGGAGCACTAGAAATTATAACTTGCTTTGACTAAACCTAGAAGATTTTTGCAGGCAATATGATTTTGCCTTTTTTTTTTTTTCTGGATTTGCAAGGAGATTAAAACATGAATTTCACTGAGTGTAGGGCAGAAATATGCAAAGCTTATTTTAATAGAATGAACCTGAAGGCATCTGGCATTCCTAATCAATTCAGAATAATTTAGTCATAATGGCAATAGTCTCGTGATAGAAAGTCTCTTCTGACTTTGGAATTCTTAAAAATGATTACCTAGCCCACACGCAAATGTTGCCGTGGGTCCCGGTGCGCATGAGAGGGATCGCACAAGAATGCTGAACAGCAAGGAGCCTGAGAACTTGGACTCTGGGCCCAACTCTGACACCTACTATTGAAAGGACTCTGGACAAGTTACTTAGCCTCGTCAGATATCAGGTGCCCTGGATACAAAACAGGAATAAGAACTACATAATGGGGTTACTGTGAGAATTAAGTGAAATAATGCAAGTGAATTTAGTTGAACCATTAGGGCATCAACACTAAAGAAGTGCTTAATCATTGTTAGCGGCTGCCATTTTGTCTTTAGAGAGTTTGCCCCCCCCAAATTATATATGTAACATGGATGAATTACATAATCTGTAATTCCGTCCAAGTGCTCGTTTTTGTCCCATGACAGAATGTGAAGGTCTTCTGGTTAGTCCTGGTCTCGCCATCTAAGTCCAGTGGACTCCAAGAAATGTTGGATTTCTTGGATTTACAGATGGGGCCAGACATTTCACATTCTAGTCTTCTTAAAAGCTAAATTTAGCAAAGGAAATAAGTGACTGTCCTAACCCTTCCTCTTGCCATAGCAAACATCTCCGCCAATGGCAAAGCGAAGGGAGGAGGCAAATACTAGGACTATCCACAAAAGCCAAAACGATGGGAGGTATAGTACTTGGAAGGCTCTTGTAAAATTAATACACTCAGCTTAGCATGTCAGCATTAATGTGATTTTATAGTTTTTGTAAAATAGTATCTTTTATGATTATAAAGCAAAAAAAAAAAAATCACATATTGCAGAAAATACATTAAACTTTGAAGGAAGATAATAGAAATCACCCAAATCCTACAATTTGTGGAGGTTGAACACCTAATAAATCGCTGGGTTTCTTTCTAGTTTTTTCCGAGACACAAATAGAGCTGTTTTTGTTTTAGTTTTCAGAATTGTGATCATATTGCTTATTTAGTATTTGATCCTACTTTTCTTCATTTATACATGTAAACACCAGTATCTTTACACATTTCTTGAAAATGTGACCTTAGCAATATGTGGTAACCCCTTACATACATTTCACCGATGAATCGTTAATTTTTAATTTTTTACTCTAAAAAAAATAAAGCTGCAACAAACATCTTTACGTATTAATTTTTGTCCAATCTGACTAACAGATGGATAACTAGAAATGGAATTACTGCAAAGAATGTATTTTTAAGTCAATTATTGTCTGTCAGTTGCTTTTCAAAAAGACGATACCAGCTTGCATTCCCACCAGCAGTGCATTAGTACCAACCTTACCAAACCTCTGCCCATGCCAAATTTCAAAACTTCTCAAATTGAAAGAGTAGCTCATACAAATAACTGATATTTTGGCAAGAAGAGTGTTTTAATTACCTAAATTAAAGTTCTAATGACCTCCACTAAAATGTGAAAGTGAATTCATGACGATCAGGTCAAGGTTAGCTATATTTTCTACTTTGATCAGTCCTGGGGTTGAATTATCTGTTGCCACCATCCCTAGTCTAGGAGTCTCAGGAGGTCAGCAAAGGGTTTTACGCACCTGCCACACCCCCCCAGCACAATGTCTCTCTGCTGTTCGTGCTCAGCAATTATCTGTGGAATGCAGCTGATGGTGCTCTCCAGCCTTGGGTGATATCAGCCCATCTTGTGAAAGAGGCAGATACAGAGGACAAAACCCAGAAATGCCTACCTCCCCATCACCACAGTGTTACCTGGATCAGGGGAAAGGTAAAACAAACCACAGGAAAAAGGCTCTGCAGTGATAACGTGGTACATCGTAGGCTAGAGAAATAGCTTTCCAACTTTTTTTGACCATGGCCCTCGATAAGAAAAACATTTACATAATGACTCAGTGCACAAAAACGTATATAGAGATATATAATTAAATACCGCGTACTCCTCACGGTTTAGGATGCACACTGGTGTTTGATATTTCCATTTTTAAAGAACGTTCATCACAACGCACATCATCTCACCACATGAGGTTTGGAAAACAATTCGGCAAAGCAGAACTGGCCGCCAGCGGCAGGGCAAACTCAGAGGCCATCAGCTTCCATACCTTTCAGGGGGTGGGGAGACCTTCCTTGGCCCTCCACTGTCCCTTCCCACGTGGGCACGGCTGTGGATGCTTCCACCCTGTGTGGTCCCATTGCCGTGTTCTGGCTTCCTGAGACCATAGATCCAGACAACAGTTGGTAACCTGTCTCTTGATGTCATGGTCTGGCTTGTGATTCTAGGCCATCCAATGAGAATCAATCTCTTTTTTTTTTAGGATTTTTTTTTAAATTTTATTTTATTATGTTATGTTAATCACCATACATTACATCATTAGTTTTTGATGCAGTGATCCATGATTCATTGTTTGCGTATAACACCCAGTGCTCCATGCAGAACGTGCCCTCTTTAATACCCATCACCAGGCTAACCCATCCCCCTCACCCACCCCCAGAACCCTCAGTTTGTTTCTCAGAGTCAATCTTTAATTGTTAAAGGCAAAACTTCTGCAGTGAGAACGGATGGCAACTGAAACCCACTGAAATGATGAAAGCCCTCCGGAAAGAGGCGGAGATTTGACAACAAGCTCGCAGATTCAACTAATTCGCTTGCTCTAAAAATCAGAGCAACCCAGAAGGAGGAGACTTCTAGCACTGTCATCTACCAAATGTCAATGTCCATCACTGGCTGCCGAAGGCCACGATCCCCCGCCTAGGACTCCAGGAGCCACCTCCTTCCCTCTTAGATGCTCCAGTGTCCATTTTCTGACCCAGACTCATAACCCACCAAATCTTCCCACGGTCTGGGATGCAGATTCGGCAGTGGGAGTTGGAGCAACTGTCTTGGACCACAGAATAGAAGGTTGTAGAACAAGAAACTAGATACCATAAAGTCGTCTCATCAATCCTAAAGCAGGTACTCTGTTATGTGAAAGAGATAGAAGCTTCTATTCCATTGAAGCCACTTTGCTGTGTCCTTGCCTACAAGAGCCGAATGTGTTTGGTAACTAATTCATTATCCGGGTCACATCATGAATAAATATCAGAGTCCAATATTTGAACCCAAATCCGTATGAATCTAAAGCCCAGTTTCTTCCTGACCATACAGTCTTGCCCGCAAAAACCAAAAGGAGAGCGTGTATTGGAAGGAGGTCAAGCTGGTGGCAAGAGAGGGCTAACCGCAAACGAATTTTCACTCTCCAATGCCTAAAACAAGCCTATGCCACATCCCACCGAAAGCTCAGGCCCCCCTCATCTTGAATGAAAAACCAATAAACAGCTAGAAGGATAGAGAGGCATTCCACAAACCCCAGCTACACAAGCACAATGCCAACAGTTGCAGATAAGAGCCAGATTCAGGTTTGCTGTGGGAAGCAACACGGTGAAAACCCACGGGGATAACATGGTGTCAGCGACACTTCCCAGCTCTAGCTCCAAGAGGCAGCGCCAAGGTACTGTGGCTGTGGTTACGCCCCACCCCATTCACCAAAGGCATTGCTACCACCCAGTTCCCGGGGGCACCCTGGAGCCTGACGTGGGAGAGTAGTCAGTCCAAAATCTACACTTTGAAAGAACTGAGTCTGGCTTGTTTCAAGGACCTAAGCAAACAGCACTCCTCCTCACCGTCGACAGGATGAAAGCCTCACTGTGCATCACAAAGGTGATCTGGAGGCGTTCATTTGCTTTAGCTGAAACAAACGCTGAACGACCGGTTTTTAGACCAGAAAGATGTTCAAATCCAGCAAGTAGGCACTCTTTCCGTGTTTCATCTTGATGTCCTGCCCACACCCACCCTCTTCCCTGCCACCCCGTAACACTGAAACAGGGATACATGAATATGGGGATCATGAAGAAATTATAGAAATTTGCGTCTGTGGACCCAAAGGAATCACGAAAATCGATTCTGACCCAAATGTCACAACCAAAGAACAGGCTTCCAAACCAAATCAGCCCAGCTGTTTGTCCCCATGGAAGAATGTGGGCCGAGAATGGTTTCCAGCCAGCCCTCAGGCAAAAACAGAAACCCGACACCCCAGAGAAAGTCCCAATCTCCTGTAAACAAAGGGAAGAACTGTTCATTACAGCCACTGAAATCTTTTAATATCAGGCTCCAAGTATGTCAAGCACACCAAACAAATTTAGCTTCACCACCTGTTCCGGAAAAGAAACACCCATGCCAAAAATCCCCCTAAAAGCGCATAGATATTCTCAGTGTGGATTAGCTGGGAGTCTTTTCAAATATGTTCTATATTAGAGTTTGTAAACTGGGCACTGGATGTACACCACATGGCCGCCATGTAAGACATGTGAAGTTTTTGTTCCGTTCCTTTAAAAAAAAAAAAAAAAACACTTTAATTTGACAAAATGGTAAGAAGTCCTAAAAAAAAAAAAAACCTACTTTGGGTGTGACTCTGAGTTGGGGTCCTGGGGAACAAAGGAGGGAGCCCAGAGTCTTACCGCAGGAAAAAGACCCATACTTGACAAATTCCATCATCCGAGAGAGGTGCCAAGAGAGGGTGGTTCATCGCCAACAGAGCAGGCTAGACAGTAACGGATAAAACACAGATGTGTAAATGTGTTGGTGCCAAGAGGTATAAAATGCCATGCTATATGCAGGTAACAGTCATGCCTTGGTGAAGCCATGTTCAAAAGACAAAAGTGAGAGACAATACCTGAACATAGTTTCACTCAGCATTGACTTGTAAGCACCTTCTAATCTCTGGATTCTGAGAGATGAAAGGAGATAACGTCTGTAAGTGTTTAGGAAAATGCCAGGCACCTACTGAATTTTCAATACATGGCTCGTTACTGTGGTTGCCCTTGAGATGAAACTGTGCTCCTGGGTAGGTCGTATCCCGCCCCCCCACCCCCAGGAACTTGTTGAGCTCCTATCCTTCAAGACCCAACTCAAATCTCCTCTTGAAAGCCTTTATCCCCTGCCCCAGGCAATGTTAGGAGCTATTCTGCCTGCACTTTCCAAGCCCGGTTTTAACGGACACAGATCCCGTCCCAGGAGTTCAAGAATAACTTAAAAGGGAGGCATGTAGACTAGTCATCTACGCATCCGTGCATCTAACACGTAACTTGAAGCATGCTCAGTGAATAAATGAGCCCTAAGTGCTAGAAGGAAAGAAGTCGGGACGGCAGGCCAGTGGGAATGTGCCCCCAAAATCCCCAGCCTATGGCTACGTATGAGATCTCCCCAACATTAACACCTCAGTATCGAGAGCAACAAGCCTAGCTATGCTGCCGGGGCAGGACTCCAATCCTTTGCAAAGTTCCTGTGAATTACGTCTGCAGTGGCCCTCATGTGCGCTCAGGTCCCTTCTGACCACCATCTTTCTCCTTGCTAAATCTAAGCCCACTCCTTCCCCACCTCCCCTGCCCCCGTGACACCTCTGCCTCGCCACCCTACGGCAGCACTAGGAGCAGCCCCCCTGCCCAGGCACAGATCCCTGGAGATCTGCCTAGCCCAGACTCTCCATTCTGATGAGCAAAAACAGCCGAGTCTCTTGAGAAGGGAGAAGGGAGGAGCAGGCTCCCTTTGTAGCACCTGCGACTCTAGGAAGCTGAAGGGGGCTGAGGATGGGGGTGGGCTAAAGGGTCGGAGAGCTAAAACAGGTTTCTCAGGGAACCCGCAGGGCAGCCCCTTCCCCCCCCTTTCTCCCTGGGGTGCCCATGGGAACTCAGAAGCAGAGCTAGGATGGGAGGGGTACGAGCACCAGCCCCAGAGTCCTCACGCCCATTGCTAGAGTCTGCATTGGGATGACAGTCCCCTTCCTCCTCCACCGAACATGTTCTCAAGGGGCCCTCCCTCCAGGACTTCTAGCCACTAGGCACTAGAGACACGGCGCCCACGGCCTTCCAGCTGTCTGCTCCGCAGATACTGAGACCTAGCCCAGACAAAAAAAAAAAAAAAAAGTATTTGTTCCCAAAGTTTATAAATCCTGCAAAATTAAAATGAACAAATACTCAACTAAAGTGTTTACCAAAAGTCACATTACACCAGCTCAAATAACATTCCCACATCAAGGAAGTTTCTCCTAGAACATGGGTGCATTTTCATGTGTTAGAACGATACGGGATGGGTTCTATCAAAAGTAAGTGCTCTGGGAGCCTCTGAGGGTCAAAATCGGCCATTCCTCCCTGCATCCTGGGTCCTCAGACCATCTCCAGGCTCCTCATCCTCAGCCTGCCAGGCTTGTCTGAGGAGACTGAAATGCAATTGCAGGCACACTTCAGTGCTTCAACAAAAGAGAATTTTTGTTAGAAAATGTATGAATATACACAAGAGAACGCAGCAAGCAGAACTTTCCTCACTGATAGAATAATTGGGGCTGATCTTTGAGGGCACCAGCACCTCCGTGGAGACTTCATCAACCCTAATATAATAAGCTTCACAAGCCTGCTCCTCTTAAAGGGAAAAATAAGGGTTTTGTTTGTTTTTAAAGATTTTATTTACTTGGAGCCTCTGGGTGGCTCAGTCGGTTAAATGTCTGCCTTCGGCGCAGGTCATGGTCCCAGGGTCCTGAGATCGAGCCCCGTATCGGGCTCCCCGCTCGGTGGGGAGCCTGCTTCTCCCTCTGCCTCTGTCCCCCAGCTCGTACTCTCTCTCAGTCTATCTCAAATAAATAAAATCTTAAAAAAAAAAAAAAAAAAAATTTTTTTGAAACAAAGAGCACATGGGAGCAAGTGCAGGGGGAGGAACAGAGGGAGAGGCAGACTCCCCCCTGAGCAGGGAGCCCGACATCCGATATCCATCTGGGCGCTCCATCCCCAGGCCTCAAGATCATGACCTGAGCTAAAGGCAGACATTTAACCCACTGAACCTCCCAGGTGCTGGAGAAAATAAGCTCTTAAATGGGTTTTATTTCAGGGTGGACTGTCAAGTCAACAGACACAGACAGGCATACATGGTACAGTGTCAACAGGAATTTTTGTTTTCATCATCATGCAAAACAAATCTGAATTTCCTACAAAAATGTTTACCCTTCATATCGTTCTCATTGAGGAAGGAAAAATTTGTTCTCCCTCTTTCTGCAGAGAAAGACCCGTAGGCACCGTGGAATCACACAGAGAACTGTGCAACACTGTGAAATGTATTTAGAGTTATTTTCATCATTCTTTGTTCTTCGTGTATCGTCAGATCGTGGCGGCTTCTTCCTCTCCGCGAGACAAAGTTGTCTCTTGGCCCTAGAACCCGATCAATGCCCACTGCACCTAGCTGACCTCAATTGTTAGTATTTCCCAAGAAGTACTCCCCTCATCTTCTTCTATCCCTCTTTCATCCATTGCCCCAACCCTAGTTTGTCCCAACCCTGTCCTCTCCTGATCTGCCCACCACCTCTTGCTGGGGCACAGCTGAAGCCCCATTTCCCTCCCACAGGCTTTCGGTTTGAACTGTAACAATCTTCCCTTCACCAAAGTCCCAAAACAGAGAGCTTTACTCCCACAACTTCACCCTTAAGTTGATGCTCTTGAATATTACCTAAAAATTATTTCTGCTTATGTCTTACTCCACTAGTAAGATTCTCAAATTCCCTCAAGGAAGGAACTGTGACTCACCATCTTTTTTATCCAGCACAGTGCGAAGCACCTGATAAACATGCATTGCCTGTTATTGTAAGTTGCTTTGGAATTTCAGATCTAATGGGGGAACTGGTACTTCAGCTACTTGTATGCTCACCCAGTGGGATTTCATAACTACATAAATACATATGCAGAGATTTACACATGTGATATGGTGACAGTAAAGTAGAGCAGCATCCTTTCATTATAGTCAGTCTGACATGTTTCCATTTTTATAAAACTACCATTGCCATTTTGACCAAGTCATTGATTAGAACCACAGAGGACTATCCCAGTGTGGGCTGATGTACAAGATGTCTATGTCAGTGTTCTCCAAGGAGCACACACTGGGTTTTCCTTTTTTGTTCTCCATGTCAATATTGTCTAATACACACCTGGCACTCTGTTCAATGAACTCCAAAAAGAAAGCGGAAAAAAAAAGCATTTTGTAATTTATCATTAAATTTGATATAACAGGCAAAGTAGGAAAAAATGTATCATTTTAGCAGTTTTACCACACCCTCCCAGGAATGGAAGAGTCTCTGAGAAACACTTTGATGAGCGCTTGGGAGTGTAAATTGAAACAGTAAAGATCTGGCGCCCAAAGAGCTTGAAATTGCTCTGAGGGCAACAAGGAAAGGAATTTCTTTGTTGTTTTAGAATGAGTGGGGGAGGCAGAGGAGAAAAAGAAAGGGAAAGAGAGCAGAGCAAGGAGACTGTCTTGTGATTAAGCCCTTCCCCCTTTTACCCTTGGAAAGGGACAAAAGATGACCCCAAAAGGAGAGGCCCAAAAGGATTCTGGAGAATTTGTTATGGACTTCTGTTTGTTTACTCTACTATGTGAACTATGACCCCTACTCCGTGTGTTACCCAAATCTGCTACCACACCAATTAAATCTCTGCAGAACTCACTTTTTTTTTTTTTTTTTTGCCCTTTAAGGATTTTATTTTTATTTATTTTTTTGGTGGGTATTGTGAACTTTTTATCTTTAAATTTTGTATTGTTATGTTAATCACCATACATTACATCATTAGTTTGTGATGTAGTGTTCCATGATTCATTGTTTGTGCAAGAACTCAGTCTTAATAAGACTCAGTCTCTATAAAATTCAAACTTTTCTCCACTCAAGCTCTACCCAAATCAAGTTCTTCTCAACTCAATCTCTACTCCGTTAAAAACCCCTCTCAATTCAACACTGAGAGATGCTTTGAGTGAGGGTGGTTTTTTGGAATTTGAAGAGGTCGTAATTCACACATAGGCTGCAGCAGTGTAGCCCAAAGGAAAACACACACACAGTTGTCAGAAGACCATCCGAATGCAAGTTCCTTGTGAATTTTCAAGAAATGTTACTGGGGATGCATTTCTACAGGCCATGGTTTCAAGGCACTAGAGAAAACTTAGCAGATATTAAAGGAAGGTCGGTCTCCAGTTGATGGGAGAGTTACACATATTGTTTAAAACTTTGAATACGCATGTGTAGACTCCACAAAAGTAGGAAAAATCCTTTAGAGCTGCTCAAGTCCAAAGCGATGCTTAATATTGTCTATACTTCTGGAAAAATCATTTCTAGCTCTGAAGTTACTCTTTATACCAGAAGAAATAGAAATCCCCATGCAACCTCTGTGACCACCACACAATACCATTGGTACAAAGTGGTAAGAACAAAGAACCCAGAACCCAGCGGCAGGGCCCAAACGCGCCCAGCCCAGAATGCACAGGTTGAAGAGCAAGACCAG